TAATCTTTTGCCGTGAACTAATCTTTCGCCATGAACGAATCATTCTCTGTGAACTAATCACTATGAACGGATCTTTCTCTGTGAACTAATATTTCGCCTCGTTCTCGCAGATTCGTTTCATTTGTCACGTGAAAGAGCTCGGGTCTTTTTTGCTCTCGCTCATCTTCACATTGTGGTGTTTTTTTATTTTTTAGCTTTTCACATGGTTTTAATTACTTATGGTATTTTGTGAACTTTGTAGACTTTGTCAGCGGAAGCAAACCATGTTGCCTTCAGTATTTAGTGTCGGAGAACCGCAGCCTTCTTTACAACGCCCACAATAGGGCTAAAGCGTCACCTGCTGTAAAACGAATGAAATGATTAGTTCAAGATTCGTTCACGACTCGTTCATTTTACTGAGTCAAAGATTCGAATCAATAAAAAGAGTCGGTCTACCCATCACTACTAGTAGTGGTGAAACAGCCAAAACAAAGACGTCGCGTGTTCGTCAATATGCCTGTTTAAATATATTAGTATTCTATTAATTTATGTAGGTTAAATTGAGCCTATATAAATTATTGGATTGTACAAGAATACACATGTTAGCTGCTGTAAATATTTAAACGTCCTCCATATGTCCACTCTTGACGGAATAGAATTTTCTTTACAGGCATAAAATCGGAGAGCTTAATTGGTCCCGCCAGTTGCAGGCGCTGTTCCGAAACCCGCCTTGCAGAGCATAAACCGTTTGTTTATTTTCAATTTGTTTAGAAAATTCATTTAAGAAATGGCTTCCACTATTTTGTCGCCTGTTGTGGATTATTATGACGACAAGGAAGAGCTCGATAGCATAGATGACGACAACGACGACGACAGGAGTTTCAGGGGAAGGGACTCTGAAGAAGGTAAACGTTCAAGCACATCTTCCCATTCGCTGGGCTCAGTCTGCTTATCGAAAAATAAACGGAAACGCGCTACTGTCGCCTTGCATGTTACTCCTTTGAAACCGAAGATCCAAATCGATTCATGCGTTATGTGTTTCTGCGACCTATATTTTCGTGTACTGTATTTCGAGAAGTCTAAAACGATTTTTCAAATCCCAGACGTAGAGCAATGCGTACTGCAAGCACAAACACTTAGCTTGTTTGCTACATAACATGTTTGGCACCTAGAAGTAACTTGAAAGCTTTACGATTGATCGATAAAACAGTTAAAGCATAACTTAGTTTTTTTTTTACGGTGTCAATAGCCATGTAATGTTTACAATATGCACGCGGTTTAAATTATTTTTTTAAATAACATTATATTAGAGATTTCGATAAATATAAGCTATACTATTGTTATATAATGCAATGTCTACATACATCAAAATGCAAAGGATTACATGAGGTATAATTTTACACTGACCTCCACTAATTCAGTTAATATGCAATATTAATAACGAGTGTTAAAGAATTGCGTGGGAACGGTGTTGGCTCCGGAGTGTTAATTAGCCAACTCGCTACGTAAGGTTAGTTCTGAGCATTGAAAGGCCGCCCGGCTTGCGAAACCCTGCGTGCTGTGTCCACTGGACTGCTTTTTTCACACTGTTCACCCAGACGGGACGGACCACAAAGAACCAGAAAGACAGACAGGGAGCGAGAAGA